CGATCAGGTTTAGGGTGTGCATTCAATGAAGCATGCCTCAGCCCTGACCTCTAAGCTACGGCCTTATCGATCAGGTTTAGGGTGTGCATTCAATGAAGCACCCTGTCTGACTGAGAGCAGTGTTTGCGGGGCACCTCCTGGACCCCACAGTCATTACTTATTAGATGCACATTATCATCTTGAAATTTTCACACTTAAAAACTACATAAGACTTTATTTAACACATACCTACTTTTACTTGCTTAAGGAAAATACACATTCCTATGCCCACTTCACTTTTTTGTTTTTTTTTGGTTATTGTTGAGACAGGGTTCTGTACATAGCTCAGGCTGGCGTGGAACTCATTAGATACTAGACAGCCTCCTGCCTCAGGCTTCTGAATCAACATTCAGATTGTAGGTGTACACCACAGCCTCAGCCTTTAGTTTTCGTAAAGCTGTACATTCAATGTGAAATCATAGATAATTGAAAAGAAAACTATCACACTTTTCTGAAAGCCAGAACAATTTTATTTTAAGTTACACATAAAGCAAATTAGTTTTTTTGGGAAGTTGATCCACATTTAAGATGCACTAAATAACAACAAAAACAACAACAACAACAAAAAACATTCAACAGCAATGACAAGAGTAACAATGTATTACTAAAAAGTTTAACAAGGTTAAACAAATTATAAACCTTTAATTCTCCTGCAGAGTTTTATTCACAGAGAATTATAGATTAGATGCTTTGTTGAAAAACCCATTTGAAAAGGTAAAATATTAAAATAATTGTTCTTTTCTCTGTTTCCATAAATACAGGATACCTTTGCATGTTTTATCTGAAGAAAAATGACTTGAAAAGAGAGTCCCTGAAGTGGGAAGGAAAGGCCAGGCATAAGTCACTGAGGACACTCTCTGCTTGAGCTTCTCCTATGGTATGTGGGCAGAAAGAGCAAACCAGCCTTCTTCATTTTGCTTTTCAGTCTGTTGAACAGATGGGAGAGGCGTTAGACATGAGCCCACTAGAGACTCACTGACATTTAGATCAGGTACATTCAACAAGTCCCATGAGTGTCACATGGCACTAAAGTGTCAGCTCTCCTGGCAAAGCTCCTGCCCACAGAGACACCAAGCAGCTGGCTGCCTGCTCAGCAGGTGTCCTAGTGAAAACCTAACTTTTAAAAGAAGAAATTCAACATTTATTCAAACTGTAGATACAACTTGAAACATAAAGTTATTGGATCTTGACAAATTAAATGGTACTAAGTTCCATGAACTATGGGTAACTGTGTCAAAGAGATAATGTTAAGCTTTTCAGAGTGTAAAAATCAGAAAGGACAAAATGTAAAGACAGCTAACTGGGGTAGCTAACTTAGACAGTTGGTGCATTCGAGCTGTGTCTCTCCTCTATAATCTAATGCCTTTCAGTATCTGTTACTAGTTTACTTCTGGAAAAACAACTTTTACAATTCTAAAGATATTTTTACAATTCTCTATGATAAACACTGAAGTTTTCAACATTATCAAAACAAAAATGCCTCCTGTGAAAAACCTAAATAAATTGTAAATGTTTAACTTCCAAACAGTCTGAACCAAACCAGAAGATATGAGAACATACAAAGCATTCGTTTACTCCCTGTGTTATCGCCCATCTAACAAAGGTACCCTCAGCTGTGGTTCACTAACACAGTACCCAGACCCAGGACTCTGGCTGTCCCAAACTCTACTTAGTCAAACCAACAATGGCGGGAGCAATACCTCAAATCTATGACCCACTAAAGACCATGGTTCTTGGGAATCAAGTCTGAAACCAGTAATTCCTAATCTCTGAAGGAAGACACTAGGAATCCTACCAAATTCTAGCTTATTTCTCAGTTACCATATAAGACAAAACAAACGTATGACTTACTGTTTTTCAAGTAAAGATACATTACAGTATTTCTTTTCCTTGCACAATTTTCTATCATGTTAAAGACACTGAGAATAGTAACTAAGAATGATGTTAGTCATCTTCTACCTGCACTCTCTCAACCCTACACAGGACACTGATTATATTTTATAACATACCTTTGTTCTTGGATTAACTGGTGTGAACCTCCCACTTCCCGAAGTGGCGTTTAGTGGAGAACAGGAATTGCTGATCGCCCCTGACGATCTACCCATGAGAAAGAAGCAGGCAGTCAGAAGGTGAGACTTACCACTAGCCATCAAGATTGTGCAACTGCTCTCTGTACTGGGAAGAGCGTGAAAGGGTTTGGCCGACAGGTCCAAACGACAGGTCGGAACACTTTACCAACACAAAACTTAAAGCGAATAGTTCACTCTTATAGTTTAGCTTTACATAAAGAGCAAATGATCGGCATCTCGTGTGCCTCCATCTCTAATACAGCCTCTCTTTTAACGTCAGGAAGTAACACATTACCACTGACCACCCAACCTGACTCAGTATTAACAAAGTCCAGGTTCCATCGGGGCTCTCTCTGTGTGACAGATACATTCTGCAGACTTTGACAGATAACTGCACATGCCTTCCATATGCAATACCATACAGGTAAGATTTTTAAAGGCTGTGCAGTAGTGGGAAGGTGGTCAGGGTAGCCCAGGATCCATGAGAACTGGAGCGGAACAGGAGATACAAGAATGCAGGGTAGAGACAGAAAAGTCAGGGAAACTCCTTCCTGACCCGTCTACCAATCACGTGGCTCATCTGGGCCAATCAGCTTTGTGTCCACGTACTGCAAGGGATGAAAGTGCTACTAGTCAATGTATCTACCCTGGGATATAGCGTCTCCTAATTTTGCAGTCATAAATGCATAAAGATTTCCCCATTTTTGTGTCATCCAGGCAGCCCTACTTGGTTAAACTTATTTCTCCCTTTATTCTCTAGCAGTGAGTCTGTCTGAACGTAAAAGGACAGGGAGTGCAGAGAGAAAAGCACACAGACACTTGATGCTTACGTACCAGCAGCCCTGTGGCCCTACCTTCTTGAACTGACCCCACTGACAGGAGACACAGTATTGCATTTTGAACTCTCTGAAGCCTCCACTCCTGGAACAGATACCTCGATGGTTCGCTTTCCTTCTTCTAAAATATAAAAGTAAAATTTCATCCTTACTTCTCACTAATAAAAGTAACATTTTTGCTCAATTTCAATATTATCAGAAATTATACATTGCAAATTGAAGTGTTTATATATTTTTATCATGATGGCTCACAGAGACACTTGAGAGATGCTTCTTTAAAATGATCTGTTAAGACAAGAAACTTTAGCTATTTGTCAATTTGGCAGCATGCTAGTTCACAGAATGCCAAAATCTTCCAACACGTGGTATCACATCAGAGCAAGAAGTGAAAAACAGTGGGCCCTAAGATATATTGAGGAAGAGGAGTGGGTGAAGGGAAGGAAAGTAGGGGGGTGAATATGGTTAAAATACATGTATTTGCAAAATTGTCAAAGAATAAAAAAAATTAAAAATTAAAAGAGAGCTAGCCGCCGGGCGGTGGTGGCACACACCTTTAATCCCAGCACTTGGGAGGCAGAGGCAGGCGGATCTCTGAGTTCGAGAGTTCGAGGCTAGCCTGGTCTACAGAGTGAGTTCCAGGACAGCCAGGGCTACACACAGAGAAACCTTGTCTCGAAAAAACCAAAAAAAAAAAAGAGAGAGAGAGAGAGAGAGAGAAAGAGAGAGAGAGAGAGAGCTAGCCTTAAAGTTTAATTTTTTAATGTGATAAAATTAAATAGGGTTTCATTTACTCTTACAGCTATGAAATCTGATCTGACTTGCAGGATCCCCCATGACTATGATGGATATAAAGTATTTCACTAATAAGTGTCTGTTGATTGCTTATCTACTTAGGAAACCCTGAAAATTTACATAATTAGACTTTGCTTTGGCCACATGAGAGTCCATGTCTGGTGCTATAAATCTGATCAAAACCACATGGCAGCGAAGGTCATAGGTCCTAAGTAGAAGAGATTTACTACTGTTGTCTGGCTAAATTGTTATGTCAAGCTACCTTCTAAGTATCTCTAGTTACAGCCACAGACAAAATGCTACTCTCAGCTGTATTCAGAGTAGCATGGCTTGGCAGAACACAGTGGTGAATGTAGATAGACCCTTGGCTACTCACAGTGCTGAGGATAAGAGCCGTTAAAGTATCCGACTCTCAAAAGGACATTTACAGCTCCTCCTCCAAGGCTCAGGGAATACCATGGAAGAGGATAGAACAAATGTAATTGCTGGAAGACAGGGTGCAGGATTGTGTTCTGGCAGAGCCTGGCCACTGACATCAGGCCAGCATAGCGCCTGTGGTTTCTTGCACTGGCCTGAGCAGTAGTGGAGTAGGGATTTCGTGGAACCCCATCCCTCTATACTGAACTATTGGCTATCGCTGGATTCTGGGAGGTACGAGTGTCACTGTCTTTAGTTAGGTAATACTGGGAAGCCCTCCAGGCTCTGTGGGATAGTTCCGTATCAATGGTCATTCAAACCATCCTTTAAAATCAGTGGGTTACAAAACAACTTATGAACATGAGAAAGGGACTTGTAGACAGGGGGCTGGCAGGGGTGTAAGAGAAAAGGGACGAGCAGAGGGTGAGGAGAACCAGAACATATTATGTTCACATATAAAACTGCCAAAGAACAAAGCTGACTAATTTTTTTAAATTCCCCCAGTTATCCTACAAAACCATGATACTGTTTACTCTAATTTTATTATACCCCCCGAGGTTATTATAAAATCAGGAATTCTATTTTGGGCATGTTGGATACTAGATGAGACAAAAGTAATAAAGGTAAATTTCAAGCTTACAGAACTCGATGACAGGCCATGCCACATTCAGCCACAGATCACGCATGAGGCTGTTTTGTTTTACACTCCCCACTATTCTCAGAACTGGCTGACATTTTCTCCTGCACTTAATGTTTGCTGTGTGGTCCCCAGTCTGGTGCTGGGATACTTAAGACCACACATGGCAGTCACCTTGCAGAGTTCATATATATTTGAACAATTTACGCATTTGAGCCAGAATTTCCCTCCAGCCTTCATGACTATGAAGAACTGAAGAAGACAGCTAGTGATCATCTGAAGAAACCCAGAATAAACACAAAGGAAAGGCTTTGCATTACCTGTTACTTTCTAGTAATCCCCAAGAGTCTGCTTTCTTATTCAAAATTTCAAAAAATAAATAATTTCCAACAGAGGTGGAAACTCTTAGTGGGAACACATGGGTAACAGACTTCAGCCAGCCATGCAGGACACTCGGTCCCTGTAAGAGCCATGGCCTCAGCATCTCAGTGCCTTCACCACTGATAGAGCCTTTCAGTTCTTCACAATCTGCCTTAGACTGGGCTCCAATCAATATGCTGATATAGCACCACCCTTGACGGCATAAATGCATTTCTGGCTAAAAGCCACTTTGACCTACTTGATTTCATCAGCACTGTTTGAACAGGACTACTATGAAAACAAATTTTTAAGTTATAATTCAATCTTTTTTAATATTCTTTACATATTCTTAAATGTAACAGAATAATGTAAAAATTAAATTGAGTGGAAATGTTTTCCTGGTTTTAAGAGAGCAATTACTTATAATCTGCTATGATAACATTTATAGACAGTCTAATTTTGATGCTTATACTTTATGTAGCATATTTCCTAAGCGAGTCACATACCATAATGAATATTTCATGTGGATGGGGTCTCCCTGGATGCCAAAGACTGGCTATAGAACAAGAGACAGCTTCCTAAACTCTTTCTGCCACTTACTCTCTGACCCAAGCCAGCTTCTTCTGGTACAACATTGGGGTACTAGGGCACAGTACACCCTGAGGTTCTTCTGACTCAATAGGGGCTTTCACAACTGAGAGAGTGAAACCATACTTCTAAGTTTCTTAGTCATGAATCAATCTGTGACCCACCGGCCCAAGCTCTGAGAGGTGACTCAACGGGTGACACTAGTGAAGAGGAAAGGTTCAAGCCAACCAGTTTCTGCTGCTCTATCAGCTGGAGCAGTTTGCTGCGAGCCTCCATGCTCTGTCGGTTCAACTCTGCGATCCGCTCCTCCATGCTACTTGGTGTTAGAGACTGGACTGCTGGGAAATTCTTCAGAGGGAAAAGATATAATAAATTCATCATTAAAACCCATCCAATTCTGACTTTTCTACTAAGTTCCAGCAATTTGGTATTTATGAGCCTTGATATAAACATAAATGAATGATGGGGTAAAATAGTTTACAAATCATTTAACTGAGGAATGAGGGCTAAAGCAAAGGTATACACAAATTCTTCCACTGCTGCATGAGCAGTCCAGCGGGCCAAAGCTGCCCTGGGTCTACATCTCCTACATCTCTTACTACTAGCCTCAGCTGAACTGAGAGAGAGAGAGAGAGAGAGAGAGAGAGAGAGAGAGAGAGAGAGAG